TACAACAACTTGACTTGGAGCTGATGGGTCCTGGAAAAACACAATGTTCCCATTCCCCAATTCCCCAACACTGTTCCCCTCCTCAATTCCCCAGTAAAAATCTTTATAAAAAAAAGGAAAGAAAATGTAAAAAGTGAGTTCAGATAGGCTCACAGTATAGAGTAAGTAATAAAACCATAAAATGGCTTGTGTTTTCCTATGGGCCATCCCACAAAAGCATCCAGAAGGATGAACAGCATTGTGAACAGGATAATACTTTACCACTTTTGGCCAAGTTGCTTGAGTACTAGCTACGTGCAAACAAATAAAACAAAGGTGGAAATGTAAAAAGGGGGGTATGATAGGTCTATAAAAGACTGCCAACAGGTGGCAGGATGGCTCAGCTGGTGAGAGCACGTGCTCCTAATGAAAAGATTGCCTGTTTGATGATGGGCTACGCTCACCCATGGCTGGGATTGAACTTGGCACCTTGAGCTGAGCTGCTGCACGGATAGCTCAGTGGATAGAGCGTGCGCCCTTAACACCAAGGTTGCTGTTTCGACTCCCGCATGAAAAGAAAAGGTTGAAGAGAACTTGAGAAACAAGATGAAGCCTAAATAGTTTTGGACCCTTTCTGAGTCCACTGTAAATCAGATGAAATGAATGATATATTTCTTAAATTTTATTGGGGAATAGTGTGTTTTTCCAGGATCCATCAGTTCCAATCAAGTAATTTCAATATAGTTGTGGAGGGCACAATTCAGTGGCCCATGTGGGGATCAAACCAGCAACCTTGGTGTTATGAGCGCCGCTCTCTAACCAAATGAGCCAACCGGCCGCCCTGATATCTTGATATCATGTAGTTTTTCAGAAAAAAATGTACAAAAGAATCAGCATTTGTTCACCTTGCATTCATTCTGAAAACCAGCACATGGTTGCAAACATATTCTAAATTTTGTTAAATGTAAGATAAAACATACTTATTTTCTTAATTTGTTTTCATTTAAAAAAAATCTCAATCAAGGCTTTTGTGGGGACTTTTCACTCTTTATGAAACACTGGCTGCTGTTGCATACAGATTCACTATTTTACATACCTTTTTAATTTTTCTTATGAAAATACATTCAGAAACGTAGAGATAATATGTAATAACTCTCTTACACTTGTTACCTAGATGTCAAAACTGTCAAGCTCTTGCCACATTTGCATGTATTTTCATTTGCTGAAGTATTTTAAAATAAATTATAGACATCATGACATCATGACATGTGACCACTTGATACTCTAATGCAGCTCTAAAAATAAAGGCCTTTTCCTACACACCCACAACCCATTATCATACTTAAAAAATTAATTCATATCTAATATCCATAGTCAAGTTCCCCCAGCTGACAAAAACCAGTCTGTCCCAGCAGGTAATTCTGGTCTCATCAGGTTGCCTCTTCAGCCAAGTCCAGGGCATACTGCTCCTTCTGGAAGAATGTTGCTATTTACTACAGGTGCTGGTTCACGTCCTCCTTTCTCCCCTATATTTCCTGTAACCTCCAAGTTAGATCTAAAGCTGTGTTGTCTAATACAATAGCCATTGGCCACATAAAGCTATTTAATTTAAAATAATTTAAACATTCCGGTTCTCAGTGTCATGAGCCACACTCAAGTGCTCAGGGGCCACCTGTGGTTGGTGGCCCTCGTAAAGGACAGCACAGACCTAAATCGTTTCCATCACCTCAGAGGGTCTATCAGCGCTTGTAGCTGATGGTGTGTACTCCATACCTCATCACTCAGAAAACTGATTTGACTGTAATTGGCCATTTCTGGCACCAGAGTCTAACTATGTCCATATCGTAAGGATCTCCTAGATTATAAAATGCCAACCAAAATGTAATCTTCATACATATGAGTTAGAATTAGTAAAGCCCCAGGTACTCTCAGCTGATGGGTCAACTCAAGGTACAAACAAGGCCAGGATTTGTCTCTTTGGGAAGGACTTTGGGCTCAGGCAAATCACCAGACCACCTGGGGTGCTGCCTAACTCAATTTCTGGTCCACACCAAGGAGACTGCAGCATGGAGACAAGGCAAGGCCACCTGTGATGGGGGGCAAAGGGAGATTTGTAAGCAGAAAGCTGAAAGGATCAGCCCTGAGCCTTAGGAAGTCCAAGTGCAGACAGGCAGGACCAGATTTGATAGACAGAATCTAAGAAATGTGAGAATCCTCCAAAAGATCAGAAAGAAAAGCGAGTGACAGGTAATGGACAGAGGGTTGAATCACACTCAGGGGAAGGCAGCAGACAGAGGAAACCCAAGGCATAAAAAAACAGGGCCCAAGCAGAGAGGAGAAAGGAGCTAGGGGACAAACCACACAGAGGGCAATGGTTAACCAACAACAACAACAAAAAGTCAAGTTGGGGGTGGGGAGGGAAGACTGGGCCACATGTTTTGTGGGAGGTACTTTTATTACAGAGCATTTCAAGCATATGGTAAAGCATAGAAAATAACACAAATATGTTAGGTTGTCTTGTAAATTTTACTAATTGAACCTAAAGTAATCATACACATCCTTTTCACCAAAACCCCTCTTACCAAGATTTCTCCAAAGTTGATCTCACATAAAGTAAAAAGTAAAAGAATTTAAGGGGCGGCCGGTTAGCTCAGTTGGTTACAGCATGTGCTCTGAAAAACAAGATTGCTGGTTTGATTCCCACATGGGCCAGTGAGCTGCGCCCTCCACAGCTAGATTGAAGACAACGACTTGAGCTGAGCTGCCAATGGGCAGCCAGATGGCTCAGTTGGTTAGAATGAGTGCTCTTAACAACAAGGTTGCCTGTTTGATTCCCGCATGGGATGGTGGGCTGCACCCCCCGCAACTAGATTGAAAACGGCGACTGGACTTAGAACTGAGCTGCGCCCTCCACAACCAGAATGAAAACAACTATTCGACTTGACTGAGACATGCCCTCCACAACTAGATTGGAACAACTACTTGACTTGGAGCTGATTGATGGGTCCTGGAAAAACACAGTTCCCCTTCCCCAATAAAATCTTTAAAAAAAAAAAAAAAAGAATTTAGAATTCCTGTTTGTTGCTAGTAGAATTAAGATAAACCTGCACACTCAACTGCCTCTCTATCAGAAATATATCTTCTATAATGCCCCATTTACAATTCTGAAACGAAATTCATAGATAATAAACCTACCAACACTCAAATTTCAAAAAATATGTCCTAACTGTAATATAAGAGAAATAAGTCCATAATATGTATTTCAATATGTAAATGAGGCACAACTACCACTAAAAGAAATGTAACCATTTGCACCTTTGTATACAATAAAATAGCCATGATTGTGACAGGACAGGCATTGTCTTAACATCTCCAATACCAAAAACAACATCGTTGTAGGTGACATGATATTCTGAAATGGTTAATAACTCTTAGGTTCTGAACAAATCAATTTTGTTGCATTCTGGGAAAATTCAAAATACATTTATGGTAGTCATTATGCTGCTCACCAATATTCCCAGTTCTCCAACTCCACTAGAATTGAACTTTCCAATTCCCTTGAAGTTAGAGGTGATATGTGACTTACTTTGGCCAATGAAATGTGTATAAGTGAAGGCTGTCACTTCCAGGCTGGGGCATTTAACAGTGATGCAAAATTTCTCCAAGTGATGGAACCTCCAACAGCCCAGGTCCCCCAGTGAAGCATAATGAAAAACAAACTTCTGTTAAGGGAAGCCACTGAGATTTAGGGTTATTGTTACTAAAGCATAACCTAGCCTGATACAATATTAAAACTGTTCTCCTCGAGAAAAGCTTATGTTTTTATGTAAAATGGAATTAGGCTCCAGGCTCTGATCATTATAAACAAGCTTTTCACTTATGAGAGTCCTGAAGGATCCTAGACAACTCTTTGTCATTCCGGACTACCTAAAACCCTCAATCACTGTGACAATTCAGATATCATCCCCACCAATTCCCTACTCACTCCCCACCCCACTAAAAACAACTGGCTTTCAGAGACCAGATAGATCATGAAAACTAGTGAACAGGGCTGGCCCTACACGCCCAGAGAACGGGGGCTTCTAAAGGGCAGCCATTGCCCACTCCACCAGTTCGTTGCCATCAGCAAATATACTGTTGCCAAACCTTCCGATGCTTCAAGAAATAGCTAAAATCCAGCTTTTTATGCAAAATCTGTTGATTTCTAGATACTTGCAACAACTTTAAAAATTTAAATTTAAAAGTTAAGCACTCTGGGAGTCAAACCAAACAGTTCTGCTGGTTTGATGGTGCCCATGTGCAGCACTTCGCAAAAAGCGTGTCAAATGCTGGTTATATTTGAGTTTCTACTTTGTCAAATTCCCTTCTTTTCCAAATGACAAAACAGACTGTAAGTTGTTACAAGTAGAGTGCCTTGCCCAAGCCGTATGGTTGGATAACAGCCATCACAATTGCTAACGTCTGCCTTATCGCAAAATCTTACTTAATAATGTCATAGACTCTGTTATTGTCCCCATTTTACCAATTAACAGCAGAATCCAGACCTTTGGATTTCCAATCCACCTCAGTGTGCTCTTTCCTGCCAAGCTGTGACATTAGGTACTTAATTTAAAAAAAATCTTTTCCTGCCTCTCCAGTCCGTTTCCTTACCAGCCCTTGCTTGTTCTGAAGACTGCTGCGGAAAAGTGATGAAGTAGAAAAAGTAAAATATGAAATGAAAATAAAAAAGAGGAACTAGTGTCACAAAGAAAACTAAGGCCATGGGGGCTGTGTTGTAGGTCGGGCTCAAGAGTAACTTCACGGAAACAAGTCCTCCCGACTGGGGGGAATAGGGGCGCTGCTTAGGTTATGACCGGTACTTTCCTGAACCTACTTAAAGTGGAAGGGAGGGAGAGAGGGTGGTGAAGAAGAAGGCCGACGTCGAGAACAGGAAAATAGGACAGCAAGGCTGTGAGAGCGCTGACCCCCCAACCCCCGCCCCCCGCCTCCCGCCTCCCGCCTCCGGCCTCCGGCCACGTGACGCGGCCAAGATGGCCGACGAGGAAGCCAGTTGTCCGGCGGGGCGGGAGCCGGGGCCGGGGCCAGTGCAGGAGTCGGAGCTGGAGCAGGGTGAAGAGTTCGAGATCGTGGACCAGAGCCAGCTGCCAGGCCCGGGCGAGCTGCGCAGTGTGGCGAGACGGCGAGCCGCGGCGGAAGGCTGGTCCGCGCCCATCCTGACCCTGGCGCGCAAGGCCACGGGCAACCTGTCGGCGAGCTGCGGCAGTGCGCTGCGCGCGGCCGCGGGGCTGGGCAGCGCGGGCGGCGGCACGGACGGCGCGGCGCCTGCAGGTAGGTCCGGCGGGAGCGTCCCGCCCGCCCCCCGCGTGGGTCAGATGGCGGTTGGCTGTAGGAGCGGGGCTGGCAAGACCCTGTTAGACTGATTATAAGAAGCCAACGTGTTCACGCTCCTGGCTTCTCTTCTGTTTTCTCTACACTTGGCGGCTGCGCAGAGATGAACGCGTGGCTTGGGTGGTGACTCCCACTTGTGTTCCCCAGACAACGTCCTTATTCTCATTGGTGGACCTTAAGAAAACGTACTAGTTTGAGCTCAGGTTATCTGTACGGGTTTTTTAAGGACTTAAGTAAACCCAGGACTGTTTTGTTCTCTTCTGTAAATCTCAAAATGCTAGCCTGGCTCACATCTACAGGTGTGACAGCAGGTCCACTCTCCCTGAGGCGTCAAAGCACCACACTTCCCAGCCAGTAAAATGGGGAGTTTTTTATTTATCCAGTGATTCCTTACAGTGCTTTCAGCCCTTGTCATCAGCACATTAGAAGAATGGAAACATTAAATGTGTGACTCAGTAGTCCACAGGTGGCTTGTGGCTAACGTATTGCATAACGCACTGGGAACATTTTCTTCTGCATCCGGAAAGTGCTGTGGGGCAGAGCAGACTAAAGACTGAAGTGTCTCTAAGAAACATTAGTGTGCCTTGGAGGTTTCTTGATTCTGTCCTCAACACTGGCAAATTTGCTATTAGAAGTCAGCACTTACATCAGAATAGTGAATTTTAAGAATTTCAGTGGTTAAGAAAGATTAAGGAGTAAAGTTTAAAATCTGACTTCAGATTCTGGCAATGGAAAGTAGGACTAAAAGGTAATGAGGGCCTGTTCAACCCAGGAATCTAGTTCCCACTAGCTTGCCCCCTTTGTGCATGTCAGTGGGTGTTTGTACACCTACCCACTGGCAGTCCCAGAATCAAGGCCTGGGGTCTTCTGGAAGCCTCTTAAGATAGTTCGAGGCATGTAGTAAGAAATAATGTTAGCTGTTCACTGATAAATAAAATGTTCCAGTGCCTAGAACAGTGCCTAGCACAGAATAATAAATATTTGAACAAATGCATATTTGAAAAATGCTTGTTTTCCACTTATGGTAGTGCTATGAATAATAGCCAACACTTGTATTGTGCTTCCTAGGTGCCAGATATTAGTCTTAGATCTGTACATACATTATTCATTTAATCCTCACATAATAGCAGGACTGGCCTCATGGTGTGTAATTAGTGCATTACAGGCACTGAGATTCTTGTGCCCATGCTTGAAATTCTTAGTAATTATATCTGAGTTTGTGTTTTGTAAGTGAAGTCCAATGGAACAAAGGAGCATGTGTAGGGGTCTTAGAGCCGGGCTCACATGTGGTCCCACCTTCCACTGCCTCCGTGGAACAGGTTCTCAGCTGCCCTGGCCCACTCAGACTGCCCTGGGGCACTACTGGCCTAAGCAGGGTTGGGGTCACGCCTTCAGAATCTTAGGGTAGGGCAAGGTGTCCACTGCCATGCCTCAAGCTGGCAGTGCCACAGCACAGTAGGCAGGCAACTGGGCCTCTTACCCACCCCAACCAGATACAGACTGCATCTCTGTAGAAAGGTGCAGTGCCTTAGGACCCACAAATGGGAGACTGACTTCCTCGCCTTTGCCCATGGCTTCAGCCCATGTGATAGGTACCATTTTATCCCTGTTTTAATATAGAAAGAGGGAAACTGAATTAAAGAGAAGTTAACTTAGAAATAGAGCCTATCTTGAACCAAGACACTTGCCTCTAGAGCCCGTGCTCTTAGTCACAACACTTCGATGCCTTGACACCTCTAAATAGTTTTACGGTAAAATGCCATAACATACGCATATAGATTTTTTAATTAGACAACTTAAAGAAAATATTAAATAACTGCCACTTCTGGCAAAAATTGTGAACATGGCTGAACAAGGGCTGAAATGTGGGGAACAGCTGGGAGGAGCTGTGTGGCTAGTCCACCAAGGTAACCTGGATTTGGAGCCTCCGGTAGGACAGGAGTGGGGGTGGGGAAAGGAGCTGGATCCTGGGCACCAGGCTGGGCAGAGGCCCCAGAACAGCAGATCAGGAGAAGAAAGTGGCCCTGCTTCAGCAGGCTCATTCGTGTCTTTCCCACCGATCTGCTTCCACAAGCAGAGAGGACGCAGCGTTGTCAGAGGGAGCAATGGTCAAGTCAGCAGCCCCCTTGCCAGAAAAAAATTGGGGTAATATAAAGGAAAATGCTGTGGAATGCTCTGAGTGTTTGTAGTACAGCATTATCCACGTGAGGTCTGGTAGCACAGCATACCACAGCGATTGTGTTCACATAGTTGTCTTGTTTGGTTTTTTGGTGGCTTTTTTTTTTTTTAATTTTTGACGGGGAAGGGGAACAGCCAAGTTGTCCTTCAGTCTTAGTTGTGGAGGGTGCAGCTAGCTCAGCTCCAAGTCCAGTCGCCATCTGGCCGTCCGCTGGCAGCTCAGGGCAGCTCAGCTCAAGGTGCCGTGTTCAATCTTAGTTGCGGATGGGCATAGCCCACCATCCCATGAAGGAGATGAACTGGCAACCTTGTTGTTAGGAGTACATGCTCTCACCAGCTGAGCCATCCTGCCACCTGTTGGCAGCTCAGCAGCAGCTCAGCTCGGGCGCAGCATCACTGGCCCTTGTGGGAATTGAATCAGCGACCCTGTTGCTCAGAGCTCACCCTCTTATCCAATTAAGATAATAAATGGGCATGGTAAGACAAAAAAAAAATCAAACGGGCTGGCTGAGTGGCTCAGTTGGTTAAGAGCTCACTCAAGAGCGCGAGCTCTGAGCAACAGCGGTTTGATGCCCGGCCCGAGCTGAGCTGCCGCTGAGCTGCCAACAGGTGGCAGGATGGCTCAGCTAAAAAAAAAAAAAAAAAATCAAACGATACTAAAGAAGACCTGTGTAGAGGCAGTCCTTCATCCCAGAAACTGACCCCAATCCTGTTGTATCTTTCCGAGGGTGTGTATGCTTGTAGCCATCCTTTCATCTACATAATAGTTTTCATGCAAACCAAAGGACATACACACAAGGTTCCACATCTTGCTTTCTAGAGTGATGAATAACAAAACACACACACTTATGGAATTAACGAGCACAGCACAATGGGTACTCACTGAAGAAGGCATTCTTTGATTTTAAAATTATATTTGCCATTAGGTAAAGGCAAATATTGTGGCTTTTTCTGTTTTCTTCCATGGCAAATTTTATTTTATGGTGCAGCTCCTTCCAAAATGAAGCACAATAACTTTTTCCACTTCACATTGCTAAATTCCTTAAGTTAGCCATTGAAATAAGTGAAAATTCCTGAAAATTACAAAAGTGTAAAAAAAGTTTCCTTCCTTGTCAGTACAAGATAACACCATACTGAATTATGTTTCAAGAAACCAATTGGCTACACAAAACTAAAACTCAAATCTATAAAAATCTAGTAATTCTCTATAATGCAGAACCCAACAAAAATAATACATACAGCCCACTCCCCTTCCTGAGTGATTATTCTCTAGACCAAATGTTACAACAAACTGGCAGCCCTTTGGTTGTTGCATTTTTTTCTACCCTGCACAGTATAAAACAATTAAAAAAAAAACATTTTTAAGGCAATTAGTAGGTTTTACATAAAAATCCAGATCACCAGCTTCTCTTGAAAACTCTGATCTGGCACTGACGACAGCATTCCTCCAGCAAGAGGGTGGCTGGCTTCATGTTCTCTCCAGCCCAGCCTCTCAGCGATGCTCATTTAGGTTATAGGCCTGGCCCCTTTCTACAAGGGTCAAGGTCTAGATCCCTGATCAGATCATTTATTTGGCAATTCAATAAGTGTAGAATTCTGTGACATTCTGTGTGCTGTGTTGAACTGGTATTAATGAAGCTTAGAGATGTTAACAGTTTTGCCAAGGTTACAAAGCTAGTAAAATTGAGAGATGGACTGACTTAAAGATCCTTCCAGCTCAAATTTTCCAAAACTCTAAATTGAGCATGAATGTAAATAGAGGACTGAGCAGGGGGGTGGATGAGATGGTTGACACACTGCCTTATCCCCAGGAACAGTGTGGGGAGCCACTGCCACCCAGCCCTGACCACCTATAATATGTCTTCACATTTTTTGCTCACATGACCCCCTAGAAAAAAACTTCAACTTTTAAAGCTGACATAAAATTCTTCATAATTTTAAAATGAATACATTTTCTGGCTTATTGTAAATACTGACTTTTTGAAATAAAACTGTTACATCCTTTTTAAGTGTATCAAGTGGTATGTACATAAAATACCTTGATTTGATAAGCACGACCATTCATCTTAAAAATAAACAAGTTATTTCATATTTGAAATATTTTTACCTTATTTTATTCCTTGAACTTGAATTTCCACTTTCATGTGTTTTAAAATTTTTTGTTGGTCATCCAAGCATATGTCTCAGCCAAATATATGTAAATAAATTAATATTTAATAAACTTTTCTTGTGACTAAAGCTCTAAGTGTATAAAAATTTTTCTTCTGGAGTAATTACCATTAAATGATTAGTAATGCTAAGTTGATAAAAAGCATATAAATAATTATACATAAATTTTCCTTGGAATTGCTTCTCTTAATGATATTGGTTTTTTCATTAGCCTGTATCTGTAGGTAAATATATATGATTTACCAATAAGATGTGATAGGACTGAGCATGAATTTTATTCCTTTTTTAATAGATGTGATCGCTGATAAACCTAGTTCAAATAAGAAATATAGAGAGTTGGAGCAATGTTGTTCAAGTCTTTGGACTCCTTCTAAAGTTATATGCCCCAAATCACATTGATCTAATGTCAGTGATTATTTTTTGTTTATTTTTGTTCAAAGCAAATGAAAACCGGACTTGCAATAAATGATGCAGCCTAGTTATATTAAAGAAATATATGACTTCTCAACCTCTGGGAAGTTCACCAAAAAAGTCTTTACCAAATTTATCAAGTGATAATTATGTTTGTAATTCTTTCACGTAGTTACCTTGTTTAACCCAGAACACTCAGAATGGTTGGGGACAGCTAAATATTGCTTATTTCAATACACCTTGGCCGATAAAATACGTATCTTTTGACAAAAAGACTTAGTTTACATGTACTTCAAATCCATTTTCATCAAAAACTTGGAGCTACAGTTTTGGCTCATTTAATTTATGGAACATGTCCATCAAGTTAATGACACACATCCTAGGGTACTGAGAGTATTGAGACTGGCAGATTTCAGGCGGGGGGGGGGGGGGNTACAGTTTTGGCTCATTTAATTTATGGAACATGTCCATCAAGTTAATGACACACATCCTAGGGTACTGAGAGTATTGAGACTGGCAGATTTCAGGGGGGGGGGGGGGGGGATTATTTTTTTTAACTTTCTAAATTCAGAATACCCAGCAGAGGGCTAGAGATCAACCCCCTCCCCCAACACCAGGTTTCCTTAACTACTAAGTACAATAAAGCAATGGGAGACTGGAAGCTCTTCATGCAGTTTGTGGCTTGATTAATCATGGAAGGAGGCTTCACCCCCATGTGGGGTCAATGCATCAAGAGGAAGATAAAGGGTAGGGAGTGAATCTGCGGACTACAAGAAAGAGTTCGTTTTAAAGATGAAGACCCGGAAGCGATTTCTTTAAAACACCTGGGCCTGCCTAGCCTTCTGCATAACTTCCTGAATATGTATTCTGATTGGAAGACCACTAGTTTATAGACCTGGGCCCAGGGTCTTCTATAACGTTAAATTTTTACAAATTGCTTCTATGGTTATTGGTCTATTCAGGGTTTCTCCTTCCTCTTGATGAGGTTTTACAATTTTTATTTACTTTGCCAATCATCCATTTCATTAAACTTTCAAATTTATAAATGTAATACATAGCATTCTCTCAAAATTTAAAAATAATTAAACCACCCCTACCCAAATGCTTTACTTAACCCATTTTTCTCTCTCCACAACTGATATGAAATGTTTAGACCAATTTCTGTTTCCCAGGAGGTGTCATCTTACGTTTTGCTGAGAGAATTGAGAATATTTAATCCAAAGCTGTCTCAAATCTAAATATTTACTTAGCAAATGCCTTTATTATAAATTCACAGTCATAATATCATACTTTTCTATTTAGTTACACATATACCGGGGTGCCAAAAAAATGTATACAAGTGGACACTTTGGTCAGAGTTGCTCAAGCAGTAGTTCGCCGTAATCAAGTCTGGACGCTGATGGTAACCACTTTGTTTAAGCACCTCTTGTAATTGCAGAAGTCGAACCTGACTTGTACTCATCTTTTGTTATTGGTATATATTGAGTATTACAATTTTAATAGTTTTCCTTTCTTAAAATGTGTATACATTTTTTGACACCCTCTGTATATGCTGCTCTTCTATGTGTCCATATTAATGCCCATGAAATAAAAATAGGTAAACAAAGGATTAACATCCAGAATACACAGATCAATCCAAGTTAAGATTTAACAAGCAATTCACACAATACTAGGAGACAATAAACATGACAATTAACCTCAGTAGTAATCAGACAACTGCAAATTAAATACGACCCGCCCCCTTCCAGTTGGTGACTATTTGCAAGACGACAGGTTGGTGCGCAAACGGAAAGGGACGCGCTGCCCCACGTGGGGCCCCCTTTGTGCCTGGGGTTATTTTTCCTGCCAGGACTGGGGGGGCCTACATTTTTACCCAATTTCTAGAATGACAGTTTCCTGCGCTTGAGGGAACATTTGGTAAGCATTTGTCATGGATACCTAATACTGATTGAAGACAACTTTTTGAACCCTCAATACAAAGCAATAAGATTAATGGAGTTGAAATGGAAAGACATCTTAATTTATTTTATTCTAACGGTTTTACTTACAAACGTGTAAAACTCGTAATTGTCCACTAATTCTGGGCGAAAGGCGGGCTACAACGAGAATTTGAGACTGAAACGGAGGAGCAGGTGCTTCCCCGAAGGAAGTTGGGGTGGAACTGTCAGACAACCCAGCAGGTCCCGAGGCTCTAGGCAACGGCCGGACCACCGCCACACGGCAGAGAGCGCAAAATGGCGGCCGCGACCCCCAATGGGCGTGACCTAGGGCTGGGCTCCTCCAATAGAAGCATCCGGGGGCGGAATACTTTCTCAGCCCGCCCTGCTGCTTGGGGCAGGGCTTCTTACAGTTTGCGCCTTTCAGCGGATCGAAAACTGAAGGCCGGGAGTGGGAGAGACCAATCGCGGTGAGTCTTGGTAGTCTCTTCGCCTTGGCAACGCGCAGAGCCGCCAGAGAGGCCTCTGAGTCTGACCCAACGCCCAGTTGCGACTGCGTCCTGCAAGGATCAGGATTCGGGTGACTGCGAACCCCAGTTATCGGCACGTTCGCGCTCCTGGCAGACCGCCTGCCTCCTGCCCGTCTTACCTCCGTTGTCCCGCCTCCTCACCCCGGAACACACTTAAGTCCACTAACGAAGCTGTCCCTGCTTCTGCCCCACAGCTTCCAAGTGCCAGATGATGGAGGAGCGGGCCAACTTGATGCACATGATGAAACTCAGCATCAAGGTCTTGCTCCAGTCCGCCCTGAGCCTGGGCCGCAGCCTGGATGCGGACCATGCCCCCTTGCAGCAATTCTTTGTGGTGATGGAGCACTGCCTCAAACATGGGCTGAAAGGTGAGCCTAGGGGGCGGGGAAAGTTGGGCTAGCTGTTGTTTGGCATGTATTCATCAGTGCCAAACATTGTTCTGGGTGCTGGGATAACAGCAACGCACAAAACAGACAAGGTTCCGGCCCACAGGATGTGACTTTCTTGAGCATTACTGTCCATTAGAAATTGCCATGCAAGCCACCTGTGCAGTTTTTAATGATCTAGTAGCTGTGTTGAAAAAGAAACAAGTGAAATTAATTTTAATGATATATTTTGTTGAGCCCAATATATCCAAACTATTATCATTTTGACAATAATCAACATTAGAATGCCTTATTAATGAGATATTTTGCATTCTTTTTTTGATACTAAGGCTTAAAAATCCACTGTGCTTTACATTTACAGCACATCTCAATTGCACTAGCTACATACAGTTCAAGTGCTCAGTAGCACATGTGGATAGGGACATGTTGGACAGCATAGTTCTGGAGGAGGAGACACAATAAATGCAGAAACTAACCAACGTAACTACAAAATGCTACAAATTCAAGGAAGCAAATGTGTTAAATGATAGAGAATCAAGGAAAAAACCTTTCAGCTCTAGTGAGGGGAAGATCTTTCTGGGGAGGTAAAACATGAGCCGATACTTTCAGGAGGAGTCCGCGTGCAAAGATTTGGGGAAAGCAAAAAAGCAGTTGCAAAGGTCCTCCCTTGGTTTGAGGACAACACCAGGTAACTGAGATGTGCTGAGAGGGAGATGAGGTCAGGGAGGTAGAAAGAGCTGGATCATGTCGGCCATTAAAGGTTCAGTAAGGAGAGCCAGCCAAGTGGCTCAGTTGGTTAAGAGTTGGCTTAAGAGCGCGAGCTCTGAGCAACAGCACCGCCGGTTCGATTCCCACATGAGCCAGTGATGCTGTGCCTGAACTGAGCTGTCGCTGAGCTGCCAACAGGTGGCAGGATGGCTCAGATGGTGTAACAACAAGATTGCCTGTTTGATGGTGGGCTACGCCTACCTGCAACTAAGACTGAACTTGGCACCTTGAGCTGAGCTGCCATCCGGATGGCTCAGTGGATAGAGCATTCGTTCTTAACAACAAGGCTGCTGGGTTCAACTCCCGTATGGGATGGTGGCTATGCCCACCCGCAACTAAGATTGAACACAGCACCTTGAGCTTAGAGGCCACGAGCTGCCGACAGGAAGCCAGATGGCGACTGGTGCCCTCCACAACAAAGATTGAAGAACAACAACTTGGCTGGTCCCCTTCCCCAATTCCCCAACACTGTTCCCCTCCCCAAATTCCCCAATAAAATCTTAAAAATAAAATTAAGTTAAAATTTAAAAAAATAAAGGTTCAGTGAGGAATTGGTTTTATGATTTTATTCTAGGAGTGTTTGGAGGATTTTAAGCAAGAGAAAAACATGAGCTGACTTACATTTTTAAAAGAACTTGCAGCTATGTGGAATACAGATCATAAGGGTGGGGAAGTGACAATATGAGCAGGGGGACTTATTAGGAGGTTATTACAGCAGTTCAGACAAGGGATGATGGTAATATTCATTTGAAATCAAGCACTGATTTTGGCATCAGGTAGGAAGGAGGAAGGGGAAGGATTTCCCAAGTGATCATATGAGGCACTTGTTTTATTTCATGGGCAATAAATACTTGGAGAAAGAGCTTAGTGGGTACATCAGAGAGTCCCTATCTCCAGAGGAAGGGAGAGCTCATTTGTTACCTGGCCTCTCCCAGTCTGCAAGACTAGAAGAATTAAATGGAAAGATTAATCTGAAGCATTTATTTGGCTTTTGGGAAAGAGACTGTGGACCCCTGAGGACACTTTGCAACCTGTTCTTATGTATAACACTTTTGTTTTCCCTTTTAGTTAAGAAGAGTTTTATTGGCCAAAATAAATCTTTCTTTGGTCCTTTGGAGCTGGTGGAGAAACTTTGTCCAGAAGCATCAGATATAGCAACTAGTGTCAGAAATCTACCAGAATTAAAGTGAGTGAAAAGTCATTACACTGATTTAATGTTTTTAAAAAATTCCCTTGTATTTACCTATTTCTCAATTCCTTGCTGGTAAAACATTTTCTAATTTAGAACAAATCGTAGCATGAGCCACACTCTGCTTAGACTTTAGTCCCAGTTCTGCTGCTTATTATCCACACAATCTCGAGCAAGATTTGCCCCTGAGCCTCAGTTTCCTTTTCTTTAAAACGGGGATTGTGATGCTTGTCACACAAGGTCAAATAGGCTGAAAAGACACTGTCACATGAAGAGCAGTTATAGGAGGAAACAGAGTCACCTTCCTGAAATCACTGCTTCCGATATATCTGGGCAGTTTTTCTGAATAATATCGTTTGGTCCAGATTTTAGATTCTAGGGCAAGGGACATTTGTGAAAAGGCTGGAACTAACAAATCATTTGCTGTGTCAGGGTTTGCCCTCGGGATCCCAACCATAGGCTCAAAATCAAAAACTCATCAGAGCACAAAGAAGGTGTCATCATGAAATCTGCATTTAGAAGGGACCCTAGAGATACTTGGGCCAATGCAAAAGAGCCCCCTGCAACTGTCCAGCCTCTGCCTGACCCTTCTCCTGGGGAACCAGCCTGTTCCATTTTCAGATAATAATAATAATAGCCACCATTTACTAAGGGTGTGCCATGTGCCAGGCATCCTGCTAAGGACATTCTGTTATTCAGCTGCCACAAGGAGCCTCTAGGAAAGCTGTTGGTAGGTATCCTCATGAACAGGCATGGAAACTGAGGCTCAGAGTAGGTGAGTAACTTGCCCAAGGCCCCTTGGCAAGAAGTAAGTGATAGCCAGGAAGAGAACACAGGTCTATTAGACTCTGAAACCCGCTACTCTCACTAAACCCTGTTGCTGCAGAGCCCTGTGAAAATAGGCGAGTTGCAGTACAGCATGTATTAGGTTGGTGCAGAAGTAATTGCGGTTTTGGACCGTGAATTTTAAGTCATTAAACACATCTTATTAATCAAAATAGGAACCATTACAATCAACACATTTTTGCCAACGAGATATAAGTTTGTTTATTCCTGTAGGATAAAATTCCATGCTTCGGGATTCGACGAACTCTTGGAAAGCATTTTCTGCATCCTGCTGGTTGTGGAAGTGTTTTCCCCGCAAAAAGTTGTCGAGATGCCTGAAGAAGTGGTAGTTGGTTGGCAAGAGGTCAGGTGAATATGGTGGATAAGGCAAAACTTTGTAGCCCAATTCGTTCAACCTTTGAAGCATTGGTTGTGCGACATGCGGTGGGGCATTTTCGTGAGAATTGGGTCCTTTCCATTGACCAATGCCGGCTGCAGGCGTTGCAGTTTTTGATGCATCTCATCAATATGCTGAGCATACTTCTCAGATGTAATGGTTTCTCAGGGATTCAGAAAGCTATAGTGGATCAGACTGGCAGCAGACCACCAGCAGTGACCATGACCTTTTTTTGGTGCAAGTTTGGCTTTGGGAAGTGCTTCTTGGTTCAACCACTGAGCTGGTTGTCGCTGGTTGTCACTGGTTGTCATATAGAATCCACTTTTCATTGCACGTCACAATCCGATCAAGAAATGGTCCGTTGTTGTATAGAATAAGAAGTTGACACTTCAAAATGACGATTTTTTTTTTATTTGCAGTCAGCTCATGAGGCACCCATTTATCGAGCTTTTTCACCTTTCCAATTTGCTTCAAATGCCAAACAACCGTAAAATGGTCGACATTGAATTCTTCGGCAACTTCTCATGTAGTTGTAAGAGGATCAGCTTCAGTGATTGCTCTCAATTGGTCATTGTCAACTTCCAGTGGCTGACCACTACTCTTCTTATCTTCAAGGCTCTCGTCTCCTTTGCAAAACTTCTTGAACCACCACTGCATTGTATATTCATTAGCATTTCCTGGGTCAAATGCGTTGTTGATGTTGCGAGTTGTCTCCACTGCTTTATGACCCATTTTGAACTTGAATAAGAAAATCACTGGAATTTGCTGTTTGTTTACCATCATTTTCATAGTCTAAAATACATATAAAATAAATAGCAAGTATTAAGTCATTAGCAAAAAAAATAAGGCGAAAAATGCACATTAAAATGATGTATAGGGGCCGGCCGAGTGGCGCGACGGTTAAGAACTCGCTTGGGATGCCAGAGGGCCCCGGTTCGGATCCCACATATGAGGGCCAGTGACACTGC